TCCATCGCTTTTTTTAACCAGCTTGGCATCGGTGTATCGAATTCCCAGCCTGACAAAGGTTCCACGTCGAGAATTTCAGAATCATCGGAAATTTCAATTCTATCATTTTCGCTGGGGCCAGCATATTCATCAAAGGAAACGTTAAACGTTTTGGCCTGTATCGTATTACAAAAAAATGATATAAGTCATATCTGTACAGAGTTCACAAAACGTGTGTAGACTATACTTGCTTTTTTTCGTATCCGAAGTTATAGTTTCACCTTCTCTAGTTCGTTTTCTCTGGTCTTCTAACAGTTGCTCCCCGACATGTTCATTCTCGTTTGAATACATCGTATATGTTTTTTCGCGACGACTACTTGAAATCTGTATCTGTCGTACGTTGATACGTTTAAATAACAATAAAATTCATCAAGAGCAATCAGTTCAAAGGATTTTGTAGCCTACCTTAAATCTTTCCTCGAGGACACAAGACCAATCAGATGTATCTTCGACCACCTAATGTTTCAAAATTTTGATTATTTACGCTTTCCTAATGAATAGCTAGTCAAAGATGGAATAAGTTGAGGATGAGGGCGTCACCTATGCCACAGTTCAGGGCGTAACCTGACTGAGGTTCCGACATAATCACTAGGGTGAGGACGTCACCTGTATCTGCAGTTCAGGGCGTAACCTGACCCGATACCCTAAAAAACAGAGAAATAGAGTCGAAGATAGAATACTTTCCTTGGAGATGTTCAAAACTGACGCTACATAGGTAAACCGCTTTGCCCATGCACCTTGCAGTGCTGCAGATTTATTTGAATCCGGAGGTGACCTAGCTACGAGGTCAGTGTTCAAACGAATAAATTCCGACAATGTTGGCACAAGATTGTTCTCTGATGTCCGTAGGAAATATGATTTAAGAGCTGAAAAAGTTGTTGGTTGGTATTACATTGGTGAACAAGGTATAGGGAGTCGTTTCTTTTATTTCTTACCTTCAAAAATATACGGATGGATAATAATATTACTCATGTTCTTTCGTAAAGAAAAAATTTAATGGTTGAAGGATGATGTTATTAAAGATAGATATCATTACGTAATTATTTAATTGTACAGCATCTGCTTTTTGTGTGCCAGGTTGGTGGCGCAGCAATTATTTGTCATCCCGCGTCACACCCTCCGCGTTTCCATTTTTCATAAGTATCCAGGGGACAGAGAATTTTTTCACCTACTAAAATCCTAATTGTCACACCTTACTATATATCACATGTGTGGCGTTACTTAATGAATGCGCCACCAACCTGGCACACAAAAATCGGGTGCAATTGTACAACTGCTCCTATCATGTGATCTTAGATATTTGAAATAGATGCTATAGTATACACTCCCCGGTCAAAAGTATTGGACCACGTGATTTTCGATACTCAAATTGATGTAATTCTATCGATCATAACTTT